GCTCAGGGCAGCTTACAACAGAATAATAAACAATCTCATTATAAAACTAGTATAAACTAGTTTAAAAGTATTAATGATCTGTTTCTGGGATAGGATAAAGAAGAGAAGGAAACATGCTAACAACCAGTAATTGACCAGGGCTACCTGAACATACAGTTGGAGCATACCTTCAGGGCAGCTGTGTATGTGCACATATTCTGTTTCTGGTATATATGGGGTCCCCCACCATAAATACAAGTGCATATGAGAAACCTTTGAATAACATGCTTAGTACTGTGTGCCATTCCTGTACATCAGAATGTTGATTGTATATTTTTCTCCCAGTCCCACTGAAACAAAAGGAATCTTACAAATATGACAGTCCTAAATGTCTGAAATCTGGATTCTAATTTTTTTCCTCTTCAACTTTTAAAAAGATGGTATGGTCATCCTTCTTGGCTAAGCCTGAAGAGAGGGGGGAAACAGCTGTGTGGACAAAAGGGGGGTGTGATGGTTGCCTCGAGTGAGGCTTCAGGCCTGTATCCTGCACTTCAGTCATGTGATGTTGCTTAATTAAGATATGGCCTGTTTAATACCAACTGTGACTGTTCCCTTCTGTATTTCCTTCCCACTGCATTGTTTACAAGGTGGTTTTTAACCAATGACTTTACTAAGATTAAATATGTTGTCAGACGACTCTTTTATTCTTTGACTTTGATGAAAAATGTGGAAAACCCAGAGGTAAGCCCATTTATGTGTTGGACTGTATATATTGTGTTTCATAGGACAAACCACTATTGATTCACTGATTCTGAGTACTGAACATCTTAATGAACTCTGTTGTAGTCACCAGCATCCATTAAAGCAGGGCTAACTTTATGAATATGCTTTCTTCTTAGGTGTCCATTACTGCTGATGATAATTGCAAATTCTTGTGCTGGTCCAGAGAGAGACTTACATTTTTTCTGGAATCTGAGCCATTTCTCTTTGAAATATTTAAGCATCTCATTGGGAAAGATATCACAAACAAGTTATACTCATTGAATGATCCAACCCTAAATGACAAAGTGAGTGTTTCTTTTGTGCTGTCTTAGATACTGTGCTGTTGATATAAAGAGGGGATCTGGTGTGCGCACTTCCTGTTCGTGATTAAATATGATTTTGAGTGTTCTGGGTATCAGCCATTTCCATTCGTAAGCTGTGCAAATGTCACTGGCAGGGCAGCAAGGAAGGTTGGAAGGCTTCTATCAAAACAGATTGAGGACTGCAGAATAGATCTGCTCTGCCTGCTTTCCAGGGTGCTGCAATAAATGATAAAGTCAGCCTTTCTGAAATGTAACTTCCTACTCATCAGGAAAACTATAGACTTGGAAACTGAATTAAGCCATGCAAAGCATAAATGTCTAAGATGAGTTACTCTTTCCTCCAGATTCCAAGTATAGTCCTTGGCATAATGCATTCTTCTGGATAGTTCCAGGATTCTGGTGCTTGCAGAAGTATGAAAAGTGTTTGAGAGAAACATATGCATTACTGTTGGAGTTTACTTCCTTCAGTCAGAGCTGTGATTGATAATAAAAGGTTATCTGTTTACAACAAAGTTATAAGGGGACCCAGTATAGCATAATGGTTAAAGACTAGGATCTGGAACACCCGGGTTCAGATTCTCCATCTGCCATGGAAGCTTGCTTGGTGACCTTGGGCCAGTCACTTTCAGCCTACCTTACTTCACAAGGTGGTTGTGAGGATAAAATTTGAAGAAGGGCGAATGATGATGTAAGCTGCTTTGGGTTCCCTTTGTGCGGGGTGGGGGGGTGGGGAATATATAATATCCCCAGTGGTCACAAAGTGATTGGAGACAGTGGATCTCAGAATGTTAGAGACTGGAAATAAACAATGGAGACTCTCGCCCAGAAGAGTTTGGCTGGAACTAGAATATCAAACTCAGCAGGCCTTTTGGTTTGATCCAGCATCGCTATGCTTATGCCCATTCAAGATTGCATTGATGACAGAAAATTCAATATAACTTTCTTCTCTACAGGCATCCCAAAAAATGGATCAACAACCTAGTCTGTGTTCACAGCTCTCTGTGATGCAAATGAGAAACAGCATGGCTAGCTCAAGTGATAGTGAAGATGGCTTGCAGCACTTTCTCCGAGGCACTTCCACTGCCTCCTCTCTCCGTGAGTCATTAAAAGGTTTTCCAAGTACTACTGAGCATCCCAGTTAGCGGCAAAAAACTATTAACCTTGCTCTTCCCATTAGGTTTGAATTTAGTTTTGAGTGCCTACCAAGTGTTGTATTTAATATTAATACATGTTGTTCTGTGTTAGTTTGTTTCAGTGGCTTTGACATTAGATTACTGTAATATGCTCTGCATGGGGCTGCCCTTGAAGACAACCCAGAAACTGCAGTTGGTACAAACTGTGACACCTCATCTGTTATCTGGGATTAGCTGCTGGGACTATGTTACCTCTATTCTGAAAGCCCTTCAGTGGCTGACAGTTAATTTCTGGGTCCAATTCAAGGTGTTGGTGCTTACCTTTAAAGCCTTTTATGACCTGGGTCCCATATGCTTGAAGGACAGCCTCTTCCTGCATGTTCCATGTGTCAGCCCTGATCTTCCCGGTAAGGTCTGTTGTCTGTTCCCCCATTGTCTAAGACATGTTCTGCCACTGTCTGGACTCAGACATATCTCTGGAACAGCCTCCTGAAAGGTCAGTGGGTTCCAATCCTCATGGCAAGCCTGCAAAATAGAGCTGTTCTGAAGAGCTTTTGGGGCTTCCTGAGCCTATGCAAAGGACAGAATACCCTGCTGGTTAGGGCATATGCCATTTTAGCTTTTGTCTTTAAAGTTTGCTCAATAGAACTTATATTACATACAATCCTTGTTTTTTGTATCAATACAAGTACTACAAAAGACAATATTGTCTACTTCTTACAATGACCCATTGACACAAACAACAGCATGTTCTGTTACACAATGCAGAATGTGAAAGATTCTGATGGGGTCCCGGTTTACTTTCAGACCGTTTCTTTGTCTTTATCAAAGAATCCTCCTTGCACATAATATAAAAATACACACAATACAAAAAGGTCACCGAACAAACAGCAGACATACAATGAAGATACAAATAATCTCTTACAAGTTATTTACTCACCACATAAATTCTACATAGATGGAAGACTTCTGAAACTACTTCTGTGGCATATTGCTCCTAATTCAAGTCTGTCTTCTCAAAACCCACCTTGCAGGCATGTGATTTAAATTGTCCAGCCAGGACCCCCAACAGGTGTCACTAATTAACAACATTCAGGTTCTCAAACCTACCACACTGCTATCACCTAAATAGCCATAACTTTAATAAAAATCATGAAAGATCAAATTCCTGATTCAGACCTTCTGGTTGCAAAGTCTGTAAACAAAAGATTCAGAATGCTTCCTAGCATAATGAAGATTTAAGTACATCCTGCCGGCTGTACATGTGTTTAACTGCAGCTAACACCAAGAACCTGAGATCCTCAGGGCGATGTTTTTGCGTAATAAAATGTTCTGTCAGTGGAGCATCCAAGGAATTATTTCTAATTTTAGATTTGTGCTCCATGATTCTAAAATCATGGAGATGAGAGGGCTATTTTTTTCCTCTTCAAGCTCTCAGCCCCTGTCAGGAACTCCAAGCCTGGACCCCTCTGAGCCACTGCCCCCAGACTAGTAAGCAGTGCTCAAAATTGTGGGTCCCTGAGGTTAAATGCACACAAGAAGACCAAAACCTTTAGAAAAATACACACATGTCTATTGATCAAATAAAATGAAAAGTACTACTAGGCAACACAGTCTCTAGAGTTAATTAGCAAAGAACACAACAAAAGGTAACCTTTTCTTTTTGACACTTTAGTACCTGGCATTAACTGGTGCACCATTCAGAATTTCAGAGTCCAAGCTAGAAACTTATGCATCTGTCCCATGGGATCAAAAGTTAGTGTAGTGTCACCCTTATCCAAGGCCTACTTATAGTTTCTTGCTTTCTGGCATCAGGCAATCTCCAGAATCCAATCAGAGCACTCGTTCACTGGAACCCTCCAAGAGATGATGCAACTTGCTCCAGGCGCCCCCTTCCATCTAGTTAATGAACTGAGCACAGGTTTTTCAGTTAGCCAATTACTGTATTCTGATATCAGGCCTTGAAAGAGATACAGATAGTATCTATGAGAAAGGCTAATTAGAAACACCTGCAAGCTGAAGCAGAAACACTATTATTTGTGTTACCCCTTGGTAAAACTAGGGTGCTTTGTTTCACAGCCCCCATGGTTATTAATCTGCATAGGTCCCACAATCCAGAAATCAGCTTTGCAAAGGCTAGAAAGGACTTCCGGGATTAAGGAAACAAGGAGAAAATCACCAATCATTGTGCTCATAGACAGTGAGATCTAACCTACTACTTTTCTGGGGGACAGCTCACACAATCAGTTGCAAGTATGGGATCAGCTGTTATTTAGAGTAGAGTCCCATTGTGCAAAATGATGAGCTGTGCTGGAGCTTCTGAAAAATGCTGTTTGAGATAATTTGAATCTGTCTTTTTAAAAATGATAGAAATGAATATTTTATCACTTTTTCCAATTACCTGCATTAAGAAAAAACTATAATAAACTGAATGGGTCTTGAATTGATTCAGCATTTTGTAAATCCAAGGATTGGCTCACATGTTTGTTTATTTTATTTAAAATATTTCTAAGTCCCCTTTCCACTCAAATAGGGTCCTCAAGGCAGCAGACATCAAACATTAAAACATTTCAGCATAAAAAAAAGTTAAAAGAAAGCATTTATCATAATTAAATAAAATGTATAAAATAATTCAGTAAAAACATGTAACGCTAAAAACCAGGAGGAGGCCAATAACAGTTACAGAGGGTATGCCAAACAGGGCAAAACTAGGGTTGCCAGCCTCCAGGTGGGGCCTGGGGATCTCCCGCTTTTACACCCGATCTCCAGCTGACAGAGGTCAACTCCCCTGGAGAAAATGGCTGCTTTGAATGGTGGACTCTATGACATTGTACCATGCTGAGGCCCCTCCCCTCCCCAAACCCCACCCTCTCCTGGATCCACTCCCAAAGTCTCCAGGTATTTTCCAACCTGGACCTGGCAACCCTAGGCAAAACAAATGTTGTCTTGCATGAGTTTTTTACATACGTCCTTCCCATGTCAGTCTGTATAGGAATGTGAATGGCTAGTTCACAAATCTCAGCCACAGCAACTTCTGTCCCTGTTGGAGATCATAGTTTTTAAAATTCATGAAAATCTACATCTCAGCTAGTGTTCAGCCACATCATTTTTCTCACATCGATGTGTGTTAAAGCTTCATTAAACTCCTGCAATGAAATGAGCCAGTTTGTATTTATGACTAAGGCTTGAACTACTACTAATAAAAATCTGTGTTCAGTATTTGTTGATGTAAATCTAACTGTCTGCTTTTATGTTAAGGAAATAACCAACAAGAGTTCTATAGTTCTTGTGGTGCGAGTCGTTTACAGCATGATGCTTTCTGTTGATAGCGTCCCATATTAACCCAACATTCTCAAAAAAGGTACTTAGTGGGTCTCTTTTTAAAACTTTCTTCACAGAGGGGATTTTTTAAACAGTTTAAGATTAAATGATTAATATGCACATCCAATCTCTGTGCAAAGGATTAGAATAATTTATACTAATATTAAGTTTCAATATTGTCTTTACAAAACAAAATTGAAGTTGAAGATGAGTGTAGATGAACACATTTTGAATGGCATGTATTGCCATTATGTTAGAGTTTATTCCATAACCTTCTGATTGCGGCTGTTTAGAGTATTCAAGAAAGGATGTCTCTTTAGTAGGTCTGTCTACGGTATCTCCATGTGACTGGACATTATGGAATGAGGAGGAAAAAGAAGTGCACATACCTTTCACTTCTCCTTCCTAAATTATAGTATACCACCTAGAATGAACTTTGTTTTATTATGTGTAGTGCAGTCCAAAACATACAAATCTGGAAACAAATATCAATGAAAACAGTTGGACATTTCCAAATGGGGGACACAATCTGTACAGCTGGATAAAGTCCTCATGTTCACCTTTGTGCAGCCTTTTTTCTCTCTAGGCTTTCTGTATGTGGGTTACTCTCTGCAGCTCCCACAAAGAGCTTTACAATATGATGTTCAGCAGTGTTATTCCAGTCTAAGCTTTTTGAAATCAATGGACAGACTGGAGTAACTGTGTATAGGACTGCGCCCTTCTGGATGTCTATATGTGTGGTATAGAAGGGCCATTGAGCATTATGATGAAGCCAACAAGGCTGCTGTGTAATTAGCTCAATGTGTGCCTGGCTGCTGCCAGAGGAGGGAACTGAGGCTGAGCCTGCTGCCTTGATGTGGCAGGCTAGCAGTAGCTGAGGGTGGACATCAAGCTAACACTCCCCCTCTGCTTTCTGCAGGTGTGAGCCCTTGAGCACAAGCCAAAGGGATCTTGTTCGTTAGCCCAGGGACCAGTGAAAATCACTTTGACCACATCTAGACCAGTCTTGTTTGTTGTAATTTTGAACCTTTTTTACTTTTTGTAATTTGCTTTGGAGTCCCTAGGTGTGGGGGGAGCCTGTAAATGCGAAGATAAATAAATAGAGCCAACATCATGGAATGGAAGGAGGGGTCAATAAACTCCCTGCGGGGATTCCCTGTCACGCATGAGGCTGCAAAGCTGCACACTGCAGGAGTGTATTGATCATTCTATTGATTTTTACATAATGCACACATTTGCTTCCTGCAGAAGTAGAAGCCAGCCAATGTAGAATGTTTCCTGCCCTTGCTAGCCAGATTCAGACATGCCCTGGGACTTTAAGACAGCTATCTCAAGTACTCTGAAATATCTAGTGGACTGATACTTTGTGTTACCGTACATTCATGATACGAGTGGACTAGATTAGATATTTTGATTACTTTTCAGACGTAGTGGACCAAGAGGGACAGTGCAGGCACCTCATGCTTTTTCATATCACCCGAAGCAGAACTTTCCCTTTTATCAAGGCATCAGTTATTTGTAGCCTCAATACAGCTGGCACTGAGTATGTGTTGCAGTATAAGGGAAATGCCTGTTTGAATGGAAATGCCTGTTCATTCAGCTCATATTTAAAATTAGCATCTGTTTTATATAAATATTTTCTCAAAAAGAAATACTGACTTTCTACAAGAAATATCACACTGTTTAGTCATCCAGTTCATGCTGTTAATATCAGACACTTCTCCTAGGCCTGCATTTATATCAAGCTCAAGGCTGTATATACCTGTGGCCAGGGCTCTAGTCAGGGGGGAGCTCTCAGGTACGGAGCTCCGGAAGAGAACCTCTAGGGGGCGGGGCGGTCACGTGGTGAAGCCCCGCCCCCTTCTTTACCCCGCCCTCTGCTTCGATCCTCATTCCGTTTGGGAATGAGGATGAAGCAGGAGGGTAAGTAGCCGGGCCTTCTGACACACTTCCGGTGATGTCAGGGGGTGTGGCCTTCTGTCACTTCCGGTGATGTCAGGGGGCGTGGCATATGCAAATAAGTTATGCTAATGAGTTATGCTAATGAGCTCCGGCAGCTCTTTTTCTACAACAAGACCCCTGCCTGTGGCAGAATGAGGTGGTGGGATTCTGAGGAGTTAAGAGGAAGCTGCACGTGGACAGGACCCCTCTTTGTAAGCCCCCCTGTGTACCAAGTCCCTGCAATTTTAACAAAAAAGGGGGATCCTAGCCTAGCTTTATTTATGTTGTTTTTCTAGACCTATTTTATGATTGGTTTTGGCATGAAGATTAGGACTGATGTAGTAGTGCTGCTTTTATTTCCTCCTTTGTGAATTGTATTTGTGACATTTTATTGATTGAGAGCTTTAAAAGCCAAGCTGTATGGCATACATTTTGATAAACTACCAAATGTCACTGATTTTTGACAAATAAAGGGGGTGGCAAGCAGTTGAAGCCACAGTCTTGTACCTCGTCTCTGCAGTGGAAAGTCAGAGTTGTTGGAAGAACTGCACTGTAGGTGGCACTAGTTATTACCTTTTGAATCTTTTGCATCCAAAATTTCCTTCTAAGTATAGATGGCAAATTATCAAACGAAACACCTGTTTCTTAAAATGCATGGATCAAGTATTTTGTATGATTGCTATGATTTTTTCCTGAAGGTTTTACAAGCTGATCTCACTCTGTCTTTTAAATTGGCAGGTCAACCATCTCCTTACTTAAGAGCATCACAAAAAATGAAACCAATAGAAGAAAGTGTTGAAGATGATGTCTTTGAACCTGCATCTACCACCAAAGTTAAAGCTCATCAGTGACAGCTCTGGACAGAATTTTGGTGAATAGCAGGAAGATGACCACCATGGCCATTAGAAACAGTCTAATGAAGTTATCAAAGGTGATAACTTTACTTTCAAAGGTGTTTTCCACACACACACACAAAATTCCTTGCTACATAGTCTGAAAACTAGTCCTATTGGTTTCAGTGGGATGTATGTCTCCAAAGATACCCTCCAGGCCCTACTTTGATTAGCAGACTGTCCTATCCACGTAGGTAGAGGTTGCCCCATTGACTGAAGTGAGTACTAGAGTCCTTGTAGCCTAGGTTGCTTTATGTGCACAGCAGAATATGCACAAGAAATGTCGTTGGACTAGAACCCGGGTATCTGGGACTGAAGTTTTCAACAAGGTGTCAAGAACTTCCTTTTCAAATCGTGTTTTAACAAATTGATTGGGAGGAGGGAGTCTTAAACCATTGCATGACACTAAAGGGTTGTAACTCTCTTAATTGCATTTTCTGCAGTTGTATGAAACTGGGGGTGCAGTGGTTATGTGTGCTGCCACAGTAGCCTTTGCAAAGTAGCCTGCTTCCCTTCCTAATGTTCTGCCACCACTTATCATCTCTTAGGTTATTGATAGTGGGAAAGAAGTGCCTGGGTGAGTCCAGGTATCTGCCCCTTGTTTTCCAAACAGGCAATTTAGCAATGACAGAACTGCAAGTGCTGATCATCTGTTATGCCACCCGCCACAGTCACCCTCGAGGGAGAACACAGACTTGCACTCTTCCTCTTTTGTGCTGATGATGCTAGGGTTAATGCTGGAACAGAAGCATATTTTGAATTAAGGTTCACTTAATGGGTTTAAGGCAAGTAGTATTTCAGTCATTAACTGTAGCTACATTTGCTTAATCCCTAAAATTGCATGCGTGCATAAAATGACAATTTGTAGTACAAATAAGTGGTGTTTAGACCTTGGGTCCAATAACAGGAAACTACTTAGCAAATTTTAAACCTACAATAAAGAGATGCAGTGCAATCAAATGCATGCTTTCTCAGTAACAAAATCCGAATCTGTTTTATGGGTTCTGTGCCTAGGTAAATATGTTTAAGATTGCAGACTTAACCAAGCATTAAAAGCAGTAGGAGTCCCCAATTGGTCTCAAGATGATGCAGATTATGGGTTAGAGCCACCAGAGCATTTTGACAGAAGGTTTCTATACATGGAGTATGATTTTCTTCCCTGCAGCTCTGCGCTGCCTAAAATGCTTTCCAAAATGATGTTTCTGGCCCTCAAGAACAGAACTGGGAAGCATTTCGGGCTTCAGCCAGAGAGGGAGGTGAGAAAGTCATGCTCCACTGGCAGAAATTCTTCCATTTGTGAAATTGGTGGATTGAAGCCTTTGGGTATACAAACAGGTAGATAACCATTTTTGGCTTTTTAAAAACATTGTGTTGTTTTCCAAGAGAACAATCCATCCATTGCTAACATCACTGAGGCTATTTTTGCTAAGCAGAAAATAGTACATTATATCCTATGTCATAGACATGGATAGATAGTTTGACATAGTGCCTTTGATTTGCTTTCATCTGTAATACAGAAGCTTTTATAGTCATATGAAACTGTTGCAATAATTAAGCACAACATGGGATGGCTGGACTATAGCCTTCTTTCCTAATGTGTTAGGTTTCCCATTGGAATTAATGGATTTGGAAGTATTTAGACAGTTAAGGCATGAACCAATGAAAACGTTCATTTCAGAAATAGCTGATCCAGAAGACAAACCATGAACACCTCTTTTATGGGACTTGTACTGGAAAGTGTGTTAAAAGACTGGGAATTTGGGGATATCAGTAGGAACCTCTAAGAAGAGTAACTGCTGATCTATGTAAATAAGTTTTTTTAAAGCCACTTACAGTAGATGCTTTTGAAGACTGTGCAGTTTTAGCACTGCTATGAACACACTGGTATTTTTTTGACAGTGCCAGTAGTCTTCAGGAACAGTCTTACTAGCACTTGTAGGTGTTTTTCTGGTTAAATTAGGTAGGATTACATATTTGCTAAGCATCATTGTGGAAGCACTGCTTTCTGTTACCATTGTGTGTACATCTTTAAACTGTTCTTGGAAAACAAATGTGTCTGGACTGAATCAACCAAAGTGATTTAAGAGAATAGTAATGAGTTTAGTGTGGTGCAGATAGAGTGAAATTATGTGCCATATCTACTGGGTAAATCTGGTGTTAACGGAACTGTTTCTTAAAAAAAATAGTGTACATATTAGAGGGATACATTTAGTGTTTCTGAACAATAAAACTTTCAAGGCACATTGGAAAGTGACACTTTTTAATGTTTGCATTCTTGTATGGCTCCTTTACCAGCTGTCCAGTGCTAAAATAGTACCAGCTTGGGTGTCCCTAGTGCTTTTGAAGCACCAAACTGCTGGTTTTATGGATGAGCCTGGTTTCGTTATTTCACAAGTTAGACTGAGGTCGCTTCCACAGAGAGCTCAGCTTCCACCTTGCCTCCGGAATTGCAGTGGTTTCTCTGGGGATTTCTGCACAAGGTTGTCATATGATCACTGTACTTCCAGTTACCCTGGCTCTACTTCAGGTTTTCCCAAACCTGCTTTGGTACAGTCTTCCCTAAAAGATTGTACTCAAAGCAGGTTTGTGAAAAATGTGGATGGGAAGATGTGTATCCCCCCCCCTCCAGTTAGTGGGCTTTTTAGAAATCATTGTTAGTTATTTTATCATACTGTTAAAAAGCTATAGTGCTAAAGCTGCCATTAAAAAATTTTTTTTGGCAAAACCACCACAGGTCAAGTTAAGAACATAAGAAGAGCCCTGCCGGATCAGACCAGTGGTCCATCTAGTCCAATATCTTGAGTTACATGGTGGCCAACCAGTTCCTCTGGAGGGCCAGCAACAGGGCATCGAGGCCAAGACCTTCCTCTGATGTTGCCTCCTGGCTCTGGGTTTAGTGCCTCTGAACATAGAGGTTCCTCTCAGTCATCATGGCTAGTAGCCACTGATAGACCTATCCTCCATGAATCTATCTTATCCCCTTTTAATAAGAACCTAGGTTGAAGGGGAGAAATGGTAAATGCAGAGGGAAGGAACACGTAATTACCTCTGTGAGGAGGTTCCCAGCATTACCCTTTGTATTCTCAAACTAAGGAAATGCCTGTATGAGGAAGTGGCCAGAGTTGTGGGATATACTTACATAAGTGGTTCTGGTGCCTAAAGATATGATGGCAATACAGAAAGCCCTAGTGATTCTGAAACCACCAAAATGGACTGTAGGACCAGGTCTCAAATATAACCAGGACCTAAACCATTCACAATCATAAAAGAGTAGTAAAATTCTTGTATTCCTTCTACTGCTCTACACGTAGGCAGTAAAACAGATACACTACAATAAGTAAGTGGCTGATCTGGAGAATGTGAAAGGTCTAGAAAACCTTAACTATTGTTGATAATCATTGCAAAAACTGTGGTCATGAACTGATCTAGTACAAGTGTACTTTTACTATATTTTCAACTTGGTATTTGTAAGCCACTTTGTATTGAAAATCATGATAAAGAATTCTGAATAAATTATCAAGAAATGTTTCTGGAAAAATACAAGAATGAACTACCTAGAGAAAAATAGGCATAGATGAAATTTATGAGGTCATAAGGAAAGCACCGATTGACAGGGTTTGCTACTACATGTTAGCATTATATTAGGGCATGTGCAAACACAGCCTTGACCCCTTGCATAACAGGCACAGCCCTAAGGGACAACCTAGCTCACACAGACAAGACCCGTGCTTGTACAGAATCCCAAAGTCCTGATCAGAAAATGGCCCTGGGCAAGTGCTGTTTTCCCAGTTGTGAAAATGCACAGTATGTGTGCATTTTTAAAGTGGGGAACAGTGGGCCCTTTTTATGATGGCAGCAGGGAAAATGGCACTAGGGAGAGGCTTAAAAGCTCCCTCCCCTCATGCCATGGTGCTGATTCAAATAAGGCCTCTGCCTGGTGAGTTTAAAAAAACAACACCACCCGTTTGTTCACAGAACTACCAGAGTATTGTGTAGTTAAGGCCTTAGCCCACAATGACAGTGGGAGACCATGGGACACTCGCTCTCAGACTATGCTATTTGTTGTTAAGTTGCTGTGAAAGACATGTCTAGGGTGAGCATATCTAGGGTGTTTTCCTCTGACTGCAAATTAACCAGAGGCAGCCTTGTTTCCTAATTTTTTGAGTTCAGTGTTTGAATCCTAGGGTTCCATTTGAATCCTACTGCAAGGAGTTCAGTGTTGGGGTCTGGATCTGCTTTTATGGAGCGTGGAAACTTTTGCTGGGGGAAAAGCACCTCTTCCTCTTCCACTAGAGCACAGGTCCTTCTGGCAGTGGAAGTTCCTGTCATTAGCAGAGCATAGGATCCATTCCAGAGATTTTGCCTCACAACTGGTCTGTAAAGTAGGTCAGACTGCCAACTTTGCCAGGGAAACCAAAGTTGGAAAAGATCAGTATATGAAGGTTTTCTTGCCTGCTGGCAAAAAGAAGGAAAGGTTTCAACTAATGAATGTCCAGGTACCCTGACAAAAGGTATGATGACTGCCCTAGAAGTTCAAGCTGCATGACTTTCCAAAGAACCAGGTCAGCTGAGTGCCTTTCCCATGTCCTAGCTCAGAACTTGGGACCATACTGCCTATCAACAATCACAGAATGAAGCATAGGACTAAGCAGTAATAAATGGGAACAGCTCTTTGCACTTTGGGGGATCTCAGATGTCCTAGAAATACAAGCTTGTGATTAGAATTTTCAGCAGAATACCATCCGGTTCTGATAATTGACTGCACTTCAGTGTCTAATGCTAATTCTTAGATTCCCCCTTAGAGATTAATAATATATTAAGACCACATCCTGGTTTCCTGTGCAAAGTACTCTTGGGAAAGGAATTCCCCTTCATCCTCTGTAGTAAAACATGAAGCAGAAAAGCCATTTTCACATGCTTATTCATGGTTTGCCCAGCTGCTTATTACCCCCCCCCCCAAAAGAACACATTAGGGCTGCATTCGTAGCTGTTGCTTTCCTGAAGTTTACAAAGAGAAAATACACAATATTCACACTGTTCTGCTTTACAGCTTCTTGGCTATTAACCTGACTGTGTTCCCAGGTTCAGAAAGACCATGCACATCAAGCATGCAAACATGGCTGTACAATGTGTGCTGTACACATTAAATCAAAGTGTTACACTGCTGCATTAAGTAAATGTGTGTATTACAGACACAGGACTCTTACTGAGTACATGCATAAATATTAGTTAGAAATATAATTACATCTTAGTTAAATAGCATAAAGGAATAATGCCACATAGTCCATGTTCCATGTAATGGAATACTGCTAAATAGCTATGGACATGGAACAAGCATGTTTCTCTCATTTAAATCAATGGTATACCTTTGGATAGATTGTGCAGAAGGAGGAGTCCTTTCAGCAGCAGCAACCCTACTTTTGAAAACTCCTGTGGCACTGTGGCTGGACAATCCACTTGCAATATCCAATGGTGATGCAGTCTTAGGACTGCCACCTCTGTGTTGGCATATTCCTGGAGATTTGGGGATGGAGTCTTGCGAGGCTAGAGCCTGGGAAGCAGAGGGCATTCAGCAGGTATGTGATGCCATAGAGTCCACCATCCAAAACTGCCATTTTCTCCAGGGGAACTTTGTAGTCTGGAGATCAGTTGTAATTGCAGAACTGCCTGGAGGCTGGCAACGATATGTAGCCTATGTCTCTCCCCCCCTCCCCCCCGCCCGATTGTAATCTTACAATGCATCCTGGAACTCCACCTCTGTTGTTGTTGTTATGTGCCCCTGTGCTGTATGGCAAGAAAATCCCACCAGAAGTCTTTGCATCACTTAGGTCTGGTTCATGCAGGCAAGGGAAGAAGATGGCAGAGCCCTGAGGTGGTAGAAATGAACTCCACCACTTCAGGCTGCAAGCAGTGGATCCCAGTTCTGAACAGTGTTTTGTAGATCTATGCAAACAGAAAACTAGCAGAACAAGGTGGAAAGTTCTGCCCCTGTTGTTGTTTTTTTGCTACCTTGGTTTTCTGTTTGAAGGGAGTTTTTAGCCCAGGACAGTATTCTAAACAGTTCTCCCCTTTGATCTGCTACCTGGAGGTTGGAGAGCTATACTGCATTCTGCCACCTCAATATTCCCCTGTCATTCTCATTCATATGTGAAGCAGGCCTTCCAGTGCAATCCTATGCAGAGTTACTCCATCTAAGGCCATTGAAAGCAATGAGCTTAGAGTGGAGTAACTTTGCCTAGGATTGCATTGTTAATCATGGATCTGTTTAAACCTTGGAAATTTCCTTTGGTGTGACTGTAATGTGGCAGTTCCTGTTCTACTAGCCAGTCTCATTAAGAAGCTGGGCAAGGTAGCTTCTTCTGCTTCATTCAGGGAAATCTCACCAACCTTCTACCTTTATGCAGAAACAGCTTTCCCAACTTTGCAATGGGAAAAGCTGTGGCTCTTAAAGAGATGGGAGATATTCCACAGCCTAGAGCGGCAAGTCCTATTCACAAGGCATTCCTTCCTGATTGTTTTTAAGGTGAAAGCAGAGGAATCAGAGGATGCCTTGCACCCTGATTCACTCAGAATTCAAGGCCTTTGAGGGCAGCAAGAATTATTCCCCTCATGTACGTATGGGATTGCAGCTGTTATGCAAACACTTGTCCACTTACTCTTACGCCTTTAAAATCTGCTTCATCTTGGGAGCCCTACGTTTTTACCGGCTCAGCTTGTGTGTCTAACACCAGACTAACAAGCAGAAATTTTAGCCGGTGATACTTATTATAATACTAAGAGGGAATAATATCTTCTGACCTTTGGTTCTAGTATCTTAAAAAGAGATTGGCAGCTTTCTAAAAATTCAAAGTTTATATGAGCCTTGTAGGGGCTGTCATTCCAGTTCCAGTCCCAGAACACTTCTACTCTAGGGGCAGTCATTCCAATGCCAGAACAGTTCTGCTACTCCTGAGGGCTGTCATTCCACTCTGGAGTCTGCCATTCCAGATCCAGCTCACTTCTACTTCCAGGGGCTGTCATTCCACTCTGCAACCTGTCACTCCTGTCCAAAAACAGTTCTTCTACTCCCAGTGGCTCTCATTCCAGCCCCAGAACACATCTGCTCCTCCCAGGGGCTGTCATTCCACTCTGGGGCTTTCATTCCAATCCCAGAACACTTCTGCTACTTCCAGGGGATGTCTTTTCACACTGGGGACTGTCATCCTAGTCCCAGAACACTTCTGCTACCCCCAAGTGCTGCCATTCCACTCTGGGGCTGTAATTCCAGCCCCAGAAAGCCTCTGCTACTCCTAGGGGCTATCATTCCAGTTCCAGAGCACCAATTCTATTTCTGGGGAATGTCTTTCTACTCTGGGACCTGTTATTCCAGTCCCAGAGCAGTTATTTTGGGACCAGAGACATTAAATGAAAATCTACTCTGCATTTTCATAGCAACTGTTTTAAGTTGTAATGTATGTCCATGGAGCCCTTTCAAGTCAATTGGGATTCCTGGCTCCCCTTATCTCCAATGGGCCTTCAGGCCTCTCCCATGGTTACCAATGGGCAATCCAGTCATTCTTTTTCATACTCCCCCCAGTGGAACTCAGTGCCATTGTGGCAATGCCAGCTCAAAAGGACTAATGTGAATAACAGAATCACACTCCAAGAGAGGGGTGGGTTGCAAGCCAAGCAGAACCAATGCAATGTACCAAGTTGTAACCAGCAGCACAGACCTGGGGTAGTTTTTCCTGAGACACCCCAAAACAGCCTCTGAACTTC